CACTCCCTTACACATATATGCCTGCAGATATCCAAAGTAATTAGCAATAATAAATAGAGTTTGCTTGTTATAGCGTTTTTCACAGCATGGATTCATTTTTCTTAAAACATGATGGAAATGTTCTGCGGCAGCTAGGAAAGCAAGAGAAGGGACCGTCTTGTGTTCTGCATAAGTCTGATTGAATGCCTTGCACTGAATCATATGATTATGTGGTAATGGACTGTATACAGTATGACATGGGTGATGCATGTAGGAAATTATGTGCATGATGGTGCTTAAGAAAATGATCTATGAAGTGCATAGCGGTATGAACTTGCTACAGCTAACTCCTACCTGGCTTCTGAAAAACACCCCGTAAGGTGTCCAGGATGCAAAAAGGTATCTCTAGAAATGACTTAAAGCTGTCTATCTATATAACTAACCATATAGCTGGGAACACTGCTTAGAAAAATCTCTCTGGAAGTACCAATGCAATGCAGAAAGCAGGTTTATAAAATGAAGGATAACAAAGAGTTCTTTTAAAATTTATGACAGTTATTTGCGGATTATATAAATAGGTTTAATTTATGCCAATCTGTGTCATGCTGCTAAATTTGTAATACTACTAATTCTATTCATTGGAAAGATTGCTATCTAGTTGAGTTCAGGTGGGTTTTCTCATCAGCTATGCCTACCTGAACAAGTCTTTAGGTGACTGAACCAAAACTCTGTCTTGAAGGGGGACATAGCATTGCAAATTCTTATGCAAACTTAACATTTTATCTCATCTTAAGGACACTTAGCCAATATTCTGGTGCTAACAACATCCTCCTCCTTCCAGATCTATTTCTGGTAAATTTCTGAGAAGTATTCCTCAAGATCTTTGAATATCAGAGGAGAAAATACAAATAAAAACATAAACAAGCATTCATCCCTGGAAGCGTTCAAAAAACGGGTAGATGTGGCACTTGGGGACATGGTTTAGTCTAGTCTACCCTTGATCGGTTTAGTGTGGACTTGGTAGCGTAGGTTAATGGTTGGACTGGATGATCTTAAAGGTCTTTTCCAACCTAAACCATTCTATGATTCTATTCTATGATTCTATGATTAAAATAGTAACTACTTTGAAATAAGTAGAAATTTGCATTACATTTTCAGGTTATAGACTTGCCTGGGGTATAAAACTGTGCTAGCTGTATTCATGCCTCTGCCCATCCTGTGCCTTCAGGAGAGAGGATGGAGAAGGGAGAGGACCGTGATGTCCATTTTCAATGATGAATTAAAAGTGCTGTCAAAAAATAGTCCCATCTATTATTTTTTCTTTCCTAGCCAGGGACCTGCACAGCTGGTGAATTCAAAATGCTTGCAAAGAGCTCTCTCTCCAGGCACATTTTTCCAGGGTTTTCCTCCTGTCCCAGTGAAGAGCTCACCCAGACAGCCTCTTCATTACTTCCAGCTCTCATCCCCACGATCCCACGACCGTCCTCTTCCTTCTAGAGAGAGGCCGACTGAGAGGTACCAACAGGGACCCCTCTGCGATTAAACCTGTGAGGTGGAGTCATGTAGAGGTGGGGAAGGAAGGAAGAAAGGAAGGGCAGGTTGACAGAGCAGCTTATTTACAGCAATTTGATTGCCAGGACTGAATTTAATTGAAGAAAGCAGGATCAGGAGACACCCAGCTCAGGCCACATGTTCTGGTTGCTTTTACAACCAATAGCCCCTTATAGTCTTCTGTTGCTGTGGTCATTAGTGTTAGTAGGGTATTTCCAGAGAACCAGCAATAACCAAGTTTCAAGTGCAGGTAGAAGCTTAATTTATGCTCCCTTCGCTCTTCTTACCTTCACTGTCAGATGGATGCAAAGGAGCATATGCGTAAATGAGAATTAGACTTCAAGTGCTAATTTTGTGGCAAGTTGAATCTTTTGACTTTGTTTCTCTGCATCTTCTGATTAGCAATTTTTGTCTTTTATGGTTTTACTTTGCTACTACACTAACATTCAACTCAATTATATGAACAGGAGTAACAGTTATGGCAGATAAACCTATAATTTTTGTGCTGTAGTAGTTACATATATAAAAAAGACTGAGTGAACACAGTTATGCTGTCATAAAAATGTCCTCTTTCTGTTCCCACACAGCACGGTTTACCATGTTAAACTTCTCCATACTGGAATAATAGTATCTATTGGAAAGGTGTTATATCCGTTCGTCTATGCACACCTACAACTCACTACCGCTTACATCAGAGTATGTGTTTGTTTAGCCAGACCCTGAGTGATTTAGCTTCATTACTAAATAAAATAAATGATTTTCAGAAGCCAGGGGCTCAGAATTATGTCACTATTCTCAAGACAATTCTTTAAAAATAACGATATTGTTTATGTTAAAAAAGTTCTCATTTCTGTTAGAAACTAATTTTGGGTACTGTTTGTTAAGATAAATACACATTAGTTAGATTACCTAGATACAAAGATTACTTGTGGAGAGCAGGCTTCAGGGGATAAGCTAACTTAGAATGCCTGAATTCATTATATTTTTCTCTTTTTTTTCAGGATTTGTATTGTGTTTACATAATTTATTTATATAAGCCATATTACTGAAAAAAATCCCAAACTAGTACTAATATATAAGGACTTGCTGTCCCATGAACGTTTGGATTTCTAATTAAGGTTGTCTTCCACAGGGTATTTGCAGAACAAGGAATTCAGTCATATAATGGATTTCACTTTGTTTGTCCCTACCATACTGAGGCAGGTTTAGATGTGGAGAATGAAGAGTAACTTACTTTTGATTTATCTCAGTAAGGAAAATTCTGCTAACTCTGCATAACTTGTTTTGTCCTAAGTGAAATATTAGCATTGCTTTGGTTTAATAACAGAATGATTGTCATAATATTTTGCATCTTCGTAACACTTTTCTGTCAATCTGTTCAAGGATTTACTGTTCTTACATCAAATCAATGAAGCCTTTATGTTATTGCCAGATTTCTGGTTCTGCCTAATATATTTTTCAGAGTAAAGTCCACTTCTATTTACTTTTTTCTTTTATCACTCCAGATGCAATGTCAGCATTAAACAGAATATTTTATGGATGGAAAAACTGTAGGTTAAGATCTATCTTAAAACAATCAATGCAAAAGGCTATCAGACTATCCTTCCCCTTCTATACAGCAACATAATCAGCATGGAATTGAATTGTAGGGCTGGAAGAAATGTCAAGAAGTCATCCAACCCAAGATGGCTTTGGTCAGGATGGGGCTGGGCAAATACCATGTAGTGTGTGTCATTCCCTGTAATGTGGCTGGACGTGCAACAACCTTATCACCAAAAGGCAGGGCCAGGGAGGATGCACATTCATGGGATGGGGCATGTTAGCACTCTCCAGCTCTGTCACCCAACGGTTGTGGACACAGTTACCGTAACCAGATACACATCTGTCACAGGATGGGGGATGCCTACATTTTGTCTGTGTAACAGCTACCTACGGCATCACCTGGCATTTGCAGACCCTTTGGTGAGGGGAAAGCACAGAGTTCAAAATTTCATCCCTATTACAGCAGATTAAGCTGATAACTCTTGCATTGCCATAAATGTACATGGAAAACAATTATCACAATGTATTTTATTCTGAGCTTTAACCAGTATGAAGATCACTTCCATACTTCCTCCTTAGCCTTCTCTCCTTGACACTAGGTAACCCCCGTTCTTCCTCCACTTCCAGGGTGGAACCCAGAACCAGGCCAGTGCTCTAGCTGAGGCCTCATCCATACCCAGCAAAACAAAATAACTGTCTACTGTGTCCTTATACAACACTGATGTTAATACAGCCCACAGTGACAGTTTCCTTTTTTGCAACCACATTATCCATCCATTCATGTTCCTGCGTGATCCATCCCAACCGCCAGATACTTTTCTGCAGTACTATAGCTTGATTATTCCCTGCTTGTACTCGTGCATTTCATTTTCCCACCTTTGTCTGTGCGGAATTTCATCCTACTGATTTTACATCGATTTTTAATCTTATCCTCCAAAATGCCTGCCACCTAGCTCAGCCTTGAGTTATTCACAAACTTTACAAAAGTATTGCCCAATTCATCATTCAAGTAATTAATGAAAATAACAAGTAGTCCCAAATAGGGACACAGCTCAGGAAATATACTTGCAGGATTCCTGTTACCCTCCCAATTTAACAGTGCCATTTTCAGTGACTGAGTATGGTTGTGCACATGCTCTCTAGTGATTCCATCCGGACTGTATTTCCCTAAGCTGCTACTGAGAATGTCCCATGGCGCCAGAACAAAAATCAAGATGCAATACAGTTATAGGTATCCATCTCATGAAAGAAGGAAATAAGATTGATTTGATTTGCTCTTGGTGCACATACATTGGCTGCCTCTTAGAACCTTTTTATGCTCTGTTATTATACTTCAGTTGCTTAACTGTTCCCTGGATCCCAATGTTTTTCTGAGTATTGAAATCAGGTTGCCTGGTCACAGCATGAAGTTGGTGTCTTCTCTTTCCTTCTTTAAGTGTTATGTTTGCCCATCTCCAGTCCCATGGGTCCTTGCCTATCCTCTTACAGACCTTCAAGTAAGTGAAGGGCTGACGAAGAGGCACACACTGCAAATCTGACACAGGTTACCCTCTGGTTCACCCCCTATGACCAGACTCTACACCCCAAGAGCACCCAAGGCTGGATGGGACAAGCCATGCCACATGTGTCCCTGGTGAACTTGCTGCACAGGTTGGAACAAGTACACTGAGCACTGGCAGGGAGTCCTTTATGGTCCAGCACATAAGCCCACGTCCCAGTGTGAAAGGTTCAGAGGCATCTTTGGCTTGTTCCTTGACATGCCGTGGTACAGCAAATGGCAGGCAGGGAGAGCAAGTCTCCACTGTTCCCACTTCCTCCCATTATTACTGATTTTATTTATTACTGAGCAAAATGTAGACTCAAGACCTGCGTTGTGCCACTTGAGGCTGTACCCTGAAAATAAAATGCTTGAGGGAGTTTATACTTACATCAGAGGCTCCCATGATTTAGGCTTAATGAAGATAGCGATGGGATAGAGTTGTGCAACTTGTAGTCGTTTGATAGCATTTCCTGACACATCGAGAATACAGTGCTTGCCCTGTTGGAAACAGATGAGGATGTGTTTATTTTTGCAGTGTTTGCTGCAGATCAGCCAAAAGATGGGAAGCAATTCTACAATGCAGTGCCCTGGAACGGGGCCATTACTGGTGCACCAGGGAAGAGGGACCCCAGGGCAAGTGCTCCACTCCTCTGCGCTCTTGCTCTCCTTGCTTTGGTGCTAATATAAAATATACACTGGAGATATGGGAATAAAGTTGTTTTTTATTTTTATGGGGATGAAATTTGCAGAGGGGAGAGGATTTTCTTCAGAGATGAGGAAAATCAGTTCATAAAAGTAATAGGATATCTATGTTCTTACTGGTTAATTCAGTTCTGGTTTGTGTCAGAGACTCCCTGTGTCACCTGAGGCAAGTCATTTAATCTTTCTGTGCTTCGTTCTTTTGCCTCTGTGAAAGGGAGATAAGTTTATTTACCTGTCTTACAGAGGGAAGAGGGAAGGCTGTTTTGGGGTGTACTTGAGGCACTGTGTTAGATCCCTGAATCCACGGTACTACATCCAGGTACAGAAAGCACCGAGGATGTTCTCATTCAGTCAGAGACTCCACTTGTGTAGTCATTATAAAACCTGTAATTATTAGGATGTCGTTTTGCAGATATTTTATATTTTTGGCAGAAGAATCATGTCTGAGATACAATGTAGAAACAAACCAGATCATGTTGCATGGTCAATAGAATTGTGTCAACCTACCCTTTCTGCCACGAATCTCACAGACTGGACACTAGTTCCATATAAATTGTCATTGTACTGCCCAGCTTCTATAAATTTGTGCTCTTGGATATCTTTTTCCATTTGTTCTCTTGAAATGACAAAATGATAATCTCTCCCATCCACTTCATAGTCACGCTTTGGCCGTGTGGTGTCTGCATGAAACAAAAGACAGAAGATCAAGAAGTCTGGAAAAACATTTCATGCAAAAAATTAAAGTTTGCTCAGCAGACCATACTGTGTCTGCTGTAAGTGAAGGTGCTCCACATCTGGGAGCAGATCCTGGGCTACCATGTGTTATTTTCAATGGAGTCATGACAATGAAGCTGTCTTTTTAAAGCAATACCTTCTGATGTTTACCTCCAATCAATACTTACAGGCTAACATAAAATCAGGATTTACCAGAATTCCACGTTTCTCAGCAGGATCACACGAAAACCCCAAATACAAAATGCATTCCAGATTGTAAATCTAATCCTATTACAGTGATAAAATGAATTGCAATCTCATCAATTTAATTTAGCTTTAATTATAAAACTGATTCTGATCTCATCTCTAGCAGTTTTAAGCTGGTGTATTTGCAGAGACAACAGTTTAAAATGAAGTAAGACTGCAATCAGGGTCTGAAATAAACACTCAGCAAGATCTAATGATCCAAGATATAAACACTCTGTTTAATTCAGGGTGCAATATTGCTTTCAGATTAGACAGTCTAGATCTCACACAAATCACAGATTACTCTGTATTTTTATTGATGGATGTTGTGCAATTAAGTTGAAACATTTTATCAGTATTTCAAACTTTAATCTTATTTAAGAAACCACAGATTAATTGATTGTTAAATCAATTGAGTTAGTGAGTTAAATTGAGTTAGTGGCTAACAAGCTAAACTAAATTGAGTTAGTGGCTAGAAGGCTCCTTCTTTAAAAAAAAATTACAGCTTTTGAGAGAATTCTTTTGAGAAATTCTTTCCAGACCTTCACAATCTTTTTTATTTGTTCCTTTCCCCTTTTTCTTCCAATGTAAAAATGGCCTGTGAGAAACTCAACTACATAGAGCTAACAGATGCTGCATTCACAGCAATTCACTTAATGTGTGGCACCAAGGGATACAGCTCACTCAGCTGCAGAACAAGGAGTAAAATCATACTTACGTGGTACACATGACCCAAACTTATCAGGGAATTCAGATATCAAATCATCGTTGATCCGATCTTTCATAGGACCCAGAATAATAACCGGCCTGGTGTAATTAACTGAACAACAAAAAAGAAAGGCACATTTTGATGATCTTACTGGCAATAACGGTAAATCTTCCCAACGATGCACTAACCAGAGTTGTATGTATGAAGTGAAAACATAGGTGTACATTTTATTGATGAACAATTTATTGACATGGAAAAGGAAAAAGGAATGAGTACTGCTTATTTTGCAGAGCTCTGTGATGGTGCATGCTCATGAAGTCAAATAGCTATGTGGAAGTGTATATATTTGCTATTGCTCAACAAGGTCACTCCCAAATGCTTGCAGATGGACTCTCTCATGAGGCCTGGAAAGGATATTGTAGGGTTTTTTCTCCTCAGTTATATGAGTGCATCCCCCATTAAATCAGGTGGGTGCACTCCCATTTCCAGTTGCCTTCCTGTAGGTTCATCTACCCTGGTTAGAGGCACATATCACATGAGAAGGAAAATAATAAAGGCTTCCCATGTAACAATATTGCAGTAAATCTAGAAAATCTGCATCAATATTTTGTAGACTGATTAACATATTTATTAGTAAATGCCGTGAGAGTGTACTGGGGAGAGTCCTGAGAACATTAGGAAGCGGGGCTAGTGAGGGAGACCCTTACATCATTTCTTTTGTATGCGATAGACCAAGTGGCCAAGAAAAAGGAGCCACAGAGAATATGGGGCTGGCACAGCAAGGCTTATTGCTCTGCTGGCCCCCAAAATGTGAAATGAAAAATATGAGAACAGTGACAGAAAAGCAGATGAAACTTACTTTCCTGTCTTGTGACAGGTTCATAAGAAAGGATGCAGTCTTCTTGGCCTCCTGATGAGAGAAGAAAGAGAAGAGACTGAAGCTGACAAGCAACACATCAAGTACTAAGGCTTGATAAAATGCTTCACATAGAGACAGATCAGGTTCAACGCTTTTCTCTGGTAATGCTCTCCCCTGAACCATTCCAAAGTCCTTCATACTTCAAAGTGCGGAGATCACTTTTTTCCTTCCCTTCCCTCCCCTGCCATGTGTTTCAATTATCTTTGCTGAAATTGGCATTTTTCAAAGATGGGCAATAAGGCTTCATTTATTGATTTGATAGGAGGGCTGTTTATAAGGATAGTGCAGAAATTTAAGATGCAATTCTTTTCCTTGTCTGATTCTTAAGGCCCTAACGTTGCTGCAGGGCAAATCCACAAGCTACCTAAACTGAGCAATTTTTATTCTCAGAATATATACATTTTGGTTGATTGTACTTCTGTGCATAACCTCCACAGACTAGTTTATTCACAGCCTGACATCTACCTATGAGCTATTTGCTGACCCTTATCCTTTCCCTGAACACAAATCTCACTGCATCATATTTTATGCACTTATCCTCCCTTCACTCCTGTTAGGACAGTGTTGTTTCCTCATGGTGCCTTTTAAGGAACTAAAGCAGAGAAATTTGCCATGAGAAGCAAGTGGCACTGTATGGACCATGACTTGGGTGCAGGTGTACAGCCCCGATGCGCCACTGTCCTCTCCTCTATGAGAGTGCAAGAGGAGAGAGGGGAGGATTCTTCAAGCTACTGCATGAGTAATTCCTAGACATTTCTCTTTCTGGGTCACTGTCACATACTTGGTACCACATAAGGGCTCTGGCAGGATCTAAATATGACTTAGGCTTAGAAAAGTTTAAAATTATGACTTTATTTTTACTCAGTTCAGGGCTTATCTCTGCAAAGATCCACAGATGGGATTTTGCAACTAATTTAGATGTTACAGAAGAAAGGGTGTCATAACGGGTACCAAGGCTTTATAATATAGACAGGGTTGCCTTCATTTCATCTGCTTGCACGCACGTGAGTCTGTGTTACATTATTCTGGTGGGCTCCTGCCAAACCAAAATGTGCACATACAGGGGAAGAGTGCTGCCAGACACCTGATGGAGGACATAGATAGGATTTAGGGTGGGCTACACCTCACTCTGAAGTAGTCTGACTGCTATGTGAGTCACTCTTGAGGCTCCATTAACTATATTAACAAGATTTGTGTTGGATGCAATGCCTAGCTCCCAAGAAGGTACAAAACTTTTTGTGGTTTAGTCTTAAGCTGACTCCCACCCCCTGAATCTCATATGTTGATATTTTTTGTGATATATTATCTAGACAGCTGTGAGAAATGTGTAAGAAAGCTTTTCAAGTAAAAATAATGTTGTAATTAAGGACAATGACAGAAAAAGCAAATTAAAAAATGTACTGATATGTTAGGAGAGAGGGACAACAGACAGGACCAACTCCAACCTAGCAATGGTGCTGAAGCAGCAAAGGAGAAAACATCATTTTTAATAAAAGGAAGAGATTAGACAGCTTTTGAGGACAAGGCAACATAACATATGAGGACTGTGGATAATGGGGTTTCTTCTCTATCTGCAAATGTTTGATATTGTAATCACTTGCTTAACTTTGGCTTTTTGCAAAGTTAAAACCCTAGAATTATTGTTACACTAGGTTTCATGCACCAGATGTATTATTTTCCCTTAAGTTTCTCTGGAAATTTTAGGGGTTATATAAAACTCAGGATGTCCCATTCCCCTGGAGATGAAACAATTCACTCTCCAGGCTGGATGAGGATGCTGCTGCACTGCCTGCTCTCCATCCCCCAGGAGCCAATGCTATGTTTTTCAACAGCCTGAGAAAGTCAGGCTTGGGGTGGGCGATGAAGCCATCATATACTAGAGCATGTGGAGGGGAGCCTGTTTGTACGAATACAATCTTAAACTTGAAAACACTTGTTTCAATGGCATACAGATCCACAGAAGGGGATTGATTTCAGCTACTTTCAGAAACCTGTATCGTGAGTGCCTATGTCTAAGCTAGTCCCTAGGTACCCTTTGGAGTCAATGGGTGCCTACAAATAGGCAAGTGCTTATTCTAAGACGTGAGTCATCTGACCTATGTTAGATGTCTACTCCAGGATGAGAGAAAAAGTCAGAGGGGTGTGTTTGTCTCCGTTGTCCCATAATGGCATTTAAACAGCAAGGTCAGATGCAGACATCTGCATTTAAACAGTAGAAACCCATGGGAGTGACAGTGACAAGAGCAACTGAAGGAAAATAGCCGATAACTCTGACACTACCATTTAAAAATTTTTCTATAGGCTAATATTTGGCTTTGGCACAGAATTATAACCAGCAGAAATAAACCGGCACAGATTTTACCTTCTGTTTTGCCCAGTCTCTGGCAGACATGTCCACATAATAAAGGCGTTGTTACATCCAGGCTGCCAGTAGGGTATGGGCTATGGAGACAAACGAGCCTGTCGTTCCACAGAAGTCTTGTGAAACTGTGGCCAGACTGAAGGCAAAGAAAAAACTACAGCCCGCTCAAATTGTGCTGAAGCTTAAGGCATTGGAAAGGCTTGCAGCAAGCAAGGAGAAACCTTGAGGCTGACTGTGATACACAGGAACTTAAAGATAGATATCTTCCTGAGTGAAGGCTCCTCAGCACTGAGTTTCAGACTCAACATGGAGTGTGAGCGTGGGGGAAAGCTGCACCATTTCCACTACTTATCTTTTCTGGAAAAAGGGCTCAGGAAACCCAAGTTTCAGTGTGAATAAAATCCTTCCAAGTACTGTCCAGACAAAATCCTGTAAGACCTCAGAGGCTAATATGCATGTTAACTGTACCACATGGTATTCTTTGATGATCCGTACTCGGTTTTAAAGTAGTACATAAAGCATTAAGTACAATGAAGAGCTCTAGAGTCTATCAATAATTGGATTGCTATAACCTTGTGATGGCTTTGAGGTGTGGGATACAGTGTGAAATTCAGCAGAGGTTGAAATTCAGCATGACATGGGCTCTTATTCATCATTTGACTAAGCTTCATTTACCACCCACATTAATGGCTTAATTATCACAGGTTAGCTATATTGATCTGGAAAATCTTTGTGAAATTTAACAGACAAAATAAAAAGAGAAAAAAGAAAAAGCCCTTTCTGTAGGATTTTGGCATGATCTCTTGTTCTTCAGTAAAATTCTACAAAGTCAAAAAGAGAAGAAAAGGAAGGAGGTAAGGAAAGAACAGAAAGAACAATGAAGCTTTCCTAAATCTAATATTTTTAGAAGTAAAATTATTGGAGGGCTTTCACTTTCCCAGGATTGCTATGGCTCTGCTTCCCTTTGTTCTTGGTTCTTGTTCACTCTGTTGGTGAGTTTTTGGGCTCAGGAAGAAAAGAAAAACCTGGAGTTTGTTATAACTTGCAGCCTCTATAAACTGGGCTGAGAGGTTTTGTGTGGTCAGATGACTTTCATAAGGACTACTAATTTCAACATTTCAAAAGATTTTATGGTGTTTCAGAGAAGTAGCCCTTAAATGAATTTAAGGTGTTGCCTCTGTTTTCCCTTTCTGGTTAGATGGTACAGAGTCTGTGAAAGAGTCAGAATCACAGTTTCAATGTAGACCTGGCAGATACTAGGCATTTTTCATGTAACCCATAAAAAGGCCCCATTTTCTACTGTCTTGTCAGAGCACCTGGAGCTTCCACAGTGCTGGTGTAACTGCACCCAGCACGTGAGTAACCGGGCAGGAGAGCTGCAGTGAGCTGCTGTGGTGCAGCCACCATGTAACCAAAGACCCACCCTCATCAAGCACCTGATGCTGTGGGAATCCATGGATTTTGGCATCCTATTAATGGCTGTGAATGAAAAAATCTGTAAAGGGATCTAAGGCAGTGAAAAATAAAAAAAGTAATACTTATGAAGACAGCTAAAAATTATTTATGACTTTAGAAAAATCAAAGGGAATTTTTGTGTTCATTAAAATTGCTGGACTAATGGTGGTGGTTACCATCAATGCACATGTGAAATACATGTAGATGAGAAAAATTTACTTTATTTTTGAGCCTTTGCCTGAATTTTGTTGCTCAGCTGGATCTAAAATCAAAGAAGGCTTATTTTTCTGTCACCATCCATTTTGGTTTTGGGCGAACATATGGATTACCTGAGTTGGAGACTTGCAAGATCTTGGAGAAATCAATTTCTTCTTTTGTTTCATCTGCACAGACTGCACTGGACAGTCAATATCCTAACCTCTGTTTGGCTCAAAATCCCTTTCCTGGACCTCTATTTATGTAAGTAAACACATGACTTTTGGAAATATGTTGATAGCTATGAAAGGCTGGAAATAAAGATCATCAGTAGTCTGAGAATGAACTTATGACTGAAAAGTGGTCTATTGGCACTTTATGTTTAAGATCAATATAGCTTGTGAGGGCAGAAAGTGAGACTTCAATACTTGTGCCAATTTGAGTGTGCCTGAATAATACAGTAATCCTTGAGGAATGTAAAAGCCAACATTAAGTGTCCTAATTAATCAGTGGCCTAACATAATAATCAGGACTACTTTAACCTTGTTCTGAGTCTTCAAATCTCATTACAAGAGTGACTTGCTGACTTGCTGACAGAGGGTAAAAATTTTTGTTTCTAACAATTTTCCTTATTTTTAACTTTTAGTCATGTATTGCTTCTCTAGGTAATTGGTGCAATCACAACCAGTTATGCAATTAGGCTAAATAGATGTGGTAATGTATGTGTAATTCTGACGACAGCTGTAAAAACCTTTACTGAACTATGTGTAAGAGCATTACCACACATATGCAGTAGAGAGACTTGAAATTCATGGCCATTATGAAAATCATGTCTCGCAAAATAAAATCTGATGAGTCCACGGTAAAAAATATGTTCTTACAAGTTTGGTTTGAAAAAGAAATCAGAACATTTTAAGTTACAGAGCTCAAAATAAAGTTTCAGTCACAGTTTAATTAGCTGGTTCAGGAATAAGTCAAAGTTGGCTGTATGTATCCTTACCACAACAAGAAGAACTTTCTGCTAGACCAGAACTTTATATACCACTCTGCAAATTTGGTTTTACTGCTGAGAACAGGTGCAAATCAACTAACATGGTTATAGCCTTCATATTAGCAGGGCCAATATGATGCAGTAGCAGCTGTGTGGCAGCTCAGACCCTTTTAGATCAGGCCAACATTTGTTCTTGGCTCAAAAATACATTTTAATTTTTCATAAAGGGCCATATTCTGCTGTCAAATGTATTTGTGGTTCCCCCTGAAGTTAATGGAGCTGAAGGTTATTTGTTGGGATAAAGAAATCCTACTGTTGGCTCCAGCTCTTTTGCTCATTACAAACCCAGTGTTGAGAGCACGGGCAGAAGAAATCAGGTCTGCTACCTGCAACAGCCTTGTTGCTAAGAAGTGGTCAAAGAATTTACTCTTGAGACCACATAGGAGGACTTTCAATTATATTATTATTTTGAAATAAAAACTATCTGACTTTTGTAGAAAAAGTTGATTTTTTAGCACCCAAGCCTAAGACATGAGCAATACTTCAGCCAGATACTCAAATTTTTAAGCAATATATTTTTCTAAATAAATATGAATGTATCAGACTATCTCCTAGAAGAAGCCCAGTCAATTTGTAACCCCTCTATTAATCACTGTCCAGGGCACAGCCTGGACAGCTCTCAGAAGCCTTCAGCATCACTTTGGGTAGTTGTATCCCTGATTTGGAATGGTTCTAGGAATGATCAAGTAGTACAGGTTTCAACACTAGCTACTTTTCACTAAAATGCTCATCATGAGAAGCAAAAGTTAGAGAAACATGTTAAAGCAATTGCCAGGGACCCAGTAGAAAAAATGCAGAACACCTCACTCTGGACTCCAACTGGCCTGATTTTATAGGGACAAATAAGAACGTTTGCAGAAGAACATGTGGCACTTGCCAGACCCACGCACTTTGTGCAGGTCAAGGTGTGAATTGCTGATTTCCCACAATTCAGAAAGCAGTGGGGCAGGCAATCCCTTTCTTCCTGCTCATTTGCTTGGGAAACAGAAGAGAAAAGGGGCACTGGGACACTGTCACAACGCCACGGAAAACCCTTGAGCTCTCCAGCAGTTTTCTATTTGCTCCCCACGAATTCTTCAGCTTCACTTTTTTTTCTCCTCTTAGTATGCCCCATTTCACCAGTGCACAGACTGAGGGATAGATGAGTTTGCAAGTCCACACACATGGTGTCCTGGTAAAATAACTTGTAGTGCCTCACCTTGAATGCACAAATTCTCCTCAAAATGGCACTACATCACACTGAAGAACAGCTTTGCAACATGGCTGGCTCCAAATGGAGTTAAAACAAACTTGGTTCTGTAGCAGTGACTGATGTTGGGTCCCATTCCCAGCTACCCAGATGCAAACAAGAAGAGCATAAATAATAACTGGATGCTGTCTTATTCTACCAGGAATGAGCTTTACCCCATGCACCTATTATTTTTTTCCTTTCATTACGAATAAATAAATTAGAAGACAGTGAGGAATATGTCATTAGGAAATGTTCACAGACTAGGTGATAATTACTTTTCCCACATGAGGGATATTGATGGGCTTCTATTGTGCAGTGTCCTCTCTCAACAGTCCCACAAGGTGAGAACTGCAGTGAAATAAGATGACTGCTTCATGAACAGGCCTCATGTCTCTTATAGCCATGCCCTCACAATTTGACTGCTCTCTCTGACCACCCACCTCTTGCTCTCCTCTGTCTGGTTCTTCTGTGTTCCCGAGACATAATTTTTCTAGGGGAGATTTGCTGCAATGAGCTGTGCGATGGCATGTATTGTTGACATAGGGTAGCCTGGAGATCCAGAGAGTAACCATCTGGATTCAGGAGGGCTGTAAGTCCCCACAGGAGATATGCTGATATACCATGGCCATGTATTAATTGAACACACAGTCGGGCTAAGTTGACATGCCACCATGGCCATCTGAAGCAGTAATTTCCAAAAGCTGGTCACCTAAGTTGCTGGTTGCCCAAGGTCATGCCTTCAAATGTCATGTCGGCACACACCAATGAATCGTTAACAAATGGAATTAGGCCCTTTGGGCACCAGCTCCTGGACTTTAAAGCCACTTTCATTTGGCATAACCTAAGACTGACTTCCTCTGCTGCTAAATGGCATAGCTTTCCTACGGGCAGAGAAGGAAGCCCTGCCTGCACCTTCTCCACCAGGCAGCAGTTGTTGGACACACCAGTAATGTGTGGGGAGCTCCAGCCAATGGGATGTAGGCTGGATGCTGCTGGGATGAGACAAGAGCTTGCCCGGATGGAAACCACCCTAGAAGGAGAGCAACTGCCATAGGCAGTTGTTACCCCAATGCTCTTTTTCCTTCCAAGCATCAATGTCCCAACTAACTACCCCAAACCATTTCTATCCCTTTCAAAACATACACTTTGTTTCAAGATACTGCACAGCCAACAAGGAACTGGCTACCTGGCCTGTCTTATGATGAAGTTTCGGAACTAGCTTTTGTGTACTGGCTCCAAATGTTTGGCTGCAACTGGGCATCCCTGTTAAGTGTCCTGTTTGGGACAGTACATCAGGCATGGGATGTGCTCAGCCACAGCCTAGGTTCTCCTCTGGGCTTTTACCCTGAAATAAACAAAACTGGAGGAGATTTGACTCATGCAAACTTTTGAAAATTTAGCCTATTGACTCATTCCTGATTGTAAAGTCAGTCTGGGGAATGAGCATCTTATATTTCAAACACAAAATCCTCCTCTCCTCCTCAGTAGAGGACACATTAAAAATGAAGTGGTTCAGAACTGGATCTTGGCAGTTTAAGAGAGCCTACTGTTTTCTTGTGACTCTGGCAATTGCTTTCCAAGGAAACCTTTGCAATACAAGAGGTTACAAACTAATTTACCATTTCTGAATTGCATAAGATTAGCTGTTTTACGGAAACAAACCAGTGTTTATTAACAGAGCTCAACTGCTATGCGCTATATCAAGACTAGTAAATATGAGGTACAATACCAATGATTACCTGAATGTATGCGGGTGCTTAGCACAAGTGCTGAGTGACTGGTGGAAAACTTGATTTGCTAAGCAAATGGCTTGAAAAAAATTAAACAACTGGGTGATTTAGTAAGCAATCTATCATTTTAATTACCTTTTATTACATTTCCAGTCATTTATTTAATGCCTTATTCTTTTGCTTTTCAACATTCCAGAAAAATCGTTATCTTGGTTAAATTTTTGGGTATTATTAATAACTACTTGGAACATATAATCTGCCTCTTGGCTATATGACCACATGGAGTCTGTAATTCCAAACAAATCAGGTTGCAGGGTTGGGACCTCCACTTATAGGGAATCAGTGACATTCAGTGGCAGTGCCTAAGGGGTGAAGGTCTATCTTACCTTTTTTTTAAAGGCTTCAATATGCATTAGCAAATCTGTACTGCCAAAATTAAGGGCTCAACAAAATTTTTGGGACTATTTCTTAGTCCTTCATACAGGCATGCAGAAATGTAAGTAAAAATTGTGACCTTGTAAAGAGGATGTCTTTTGCAGATTTGACTGCAGCTATGGAGTAATTTTACTCGTAAAAGATCATCAAGAAACTGCCCCCTCCCTGCTGAAATAAACTTCTTGTCACTAAACAAAATAATCCTGACTTTCACAGAGTACCCAAAGCCAAGCTTGGTTTTATGTCCCAGAATACATCCCAAATAACAACCTTCCTCCCTTTTCTTATAAACGTTGCCAGTTTTTTTTTTTTTTTTATAGCTTTGTACTCAAGATATGGTTGTAAATTTGAATTCCAAGCCATTTGCTCCAACCGTCTTTTTAACATTAACAAAAGAGTAGCAAGGAGAGAAACAAAATAAAAGAAACAAACAGAACAAGCAATGCAAAGTAAAAGGACTCTAATGAAAGCAGTAACTTACTGTAGCTACTTTCACTATCGCTGGCATTAGAAGAAACATGTTCTGCAAGAACAGTACAGCAAATTAAAGAACACAACCAAGCACCACAGAGCTGCAGAAACTTAAAAGAACTGCCACAGTCATGCAAAGGTAGTTGTGCAGAAAGGAAATAAAAACTTTGCAGTGACATCACCTGAAAAATCTTAGATAATTTACACAGGTAAAATGAAAGCTTTCTCTCTTGTGGTATTTCAGAAAGAAACTATATGTATTAGCTAGTGATATGTGTCATGGCAAAGCCATGTCTTTTCTTGATGAGACAGTTAATGAAATCTCAGATAACTTAATTTCAGTACATTATGGTCCACTTGCATCTCACTGGACGTCTTGCATAATTTCATGAAACCTGAGTTTCTGCTCATATTATTCTGCACTATCAGTAATGTGCATCATTAATGCATTGGAACTATTCCTGCTAAACTTCTAACCTGTGTCCATCTCTAATCACTGTGCACTGTCCCAAAAGAGTAACAAATTAACATGAAAATGGTTTTGATATCAAATATTGTAACTGTATCTATTTTACCCTGTCCAAAAAAAGAAGACAAAGTCAATGACAAAACTAACAACAACAACAACAAAATTGTCTAGCCTCAGGATTTGGGCTAGAGTACGAAAAACGTTACCAGACCAGTCTGGATGGGTGAATAGGGAGGTAAGAACTATTATGATGGGTCAGACTTGTGGTTTGGCAAATCTGGTGTCCTGTTTCTATTATCATAGTATTTAAAGGAAGGTGCAATCTATATCATGTGAAGCTGCTGTTCGCAAACTGTAGTCAGCAGACTGTTTATGGTCAGTCAGACCTTGCTACATGGTCTCCGGGAGGTCTGCAGAACCACATTAAATGATGGCTTTAGAAGTATCTTTGGTAGAAATGCTGATTACTTTGCACCTGAAAGATCATTTGACAGTTGCAGTTTTTCAGCTGGTCCAGGACATTTAGAAGCCAATGGTATAATGGTTATACAGTGGGGAGCCGCCCTGGGTTAATGAGAATGAGACACAGTGGTTAAATGGACAACGGGTACAAATAAGTCACCTCCTGACAAACACCAGGGGCAAAAATTGGTCCAATATTTGTCATTAAACCAGTGGGCAGATTAGGCTGTGGGTGACCCACAACACTCACCTGCAACTGCCTCTTAACGTTCCCAGTGAAAGAAGGAACTCATAAAGCCAAGAATCCCCTGGGATGAACCCGGAGTAGACCATGCATGGATGTCATGAAGGTTGACTATCGGAACAGTGCCAAGACCACCTCTTCTCTGCAAGGTGCTGTGTCTTCCCCTCATACCAATCTAATGGCTTGGGAATCATAGAGAGGGACTGATGTGTTTACTGGAGCAGCAGAAATGAGAGGGGATGATATATGATAAAAATAGTACTAGAAGACTTTGATCTTGGGCTTAGTAAGGAGCTTTAAAAAATTAAACTTACATTTTGAAGAAAACAGTATATTGACTTTTGGGCATTTCATAGCAAGTTAACAAGGGTTGTCTCAAACTAATTTGCTATACAGAACCCTGAAGAACTTTATTAAACAAGAACAAATATCCTTCATAGTAAGAGTGGTCATTAAAAAGAATATCCGAGTTGAATATTAGTGAAATTTGGATGGGCGGAATGTCTAGAGGTGTGTCAGTAATTGAAAGCTAGGTGCAATATTAATAGAGAAACAAGAGCCTATATAATACCTCTGTGCTACTTTTCCCTTAGCAATTTGCAGAATTCAGTTAACTCCTTTCAAATGGTTGGATTACGGAGATTTGTCTTTGTAAGGACACAGATATTCAGGAGGGTTATCAATCAGAAGTATTCTACTCATCTCTAGGCAGGGAAGGATCTGCATTTGTTGCTAATGAGCTGCTATGGCACTTAAAGTAGCAGAATGGTTAAAATTCAGGTGGCAGTGACATTTGCTGTCTATCACTGACAAAACTAGTCTTGCAGAACTGTTCTTTGTACAAGAGATGAAGCTTTCATCTTTAAATTGAGAGCTACTGTGTGGCTTAAAGTTAAACCATTAAAATGTCCCTTCAACAAATCAGTCAGAAACAGAATAGTCTCTAAAATTGTGTGCATGGATGTGCA